ACAATTGTTGAAGAAATAACTGAGTAGTAATATTTGTTTAGGTAATGATGTATATTTATATTTATGATGAATATTAGAACCATTATTTGTTTTGGATTTAAACTGAGCAAGACGCGTATTTAAACTACCTGAACAGTTATTCCTCAATCCAAACCTCAGTTTGGATCCTACAAATTGTGTTTTGTTGCAAAAGAAGATAACTGAATATAATTGAATATATTCAATGGTTAATATTATCTACTATCTCTTGCTACAACAATCTATCACACAATTAGTCTGGGTAAACGTTTCAAAATATCAGTGAATTCAAGATAGAAATGCTAAGTAAATCAAAATATGCTAAATCTTGAAAATGTTTTAATAGAAAATAGAAAAACTTAAACTGAAAGCACAAACATCATTGTACGACAGTGAGATAACGATTGTGAAAGAAATTTTTACGCTAAAATTATATTTCCTTTTTGATTTTTTTTGAACAAGTTTCAGACAACATGAAACTAATATGAACCTTATCGCTTATTGAATAGTTCTGTAAAACATACAGTTCAGCTCAGAAATAAAAATCAATTAAAGTAGCACAGCAGCATAAAAATGAAATCAAATGAACGATACAAATAAAAACACGATAATCAGTTATTGATTTTTATGGATCGGTTGATGAAAAAAAACACATATTTGTTTTAAAACAAATGCAATTTTAGCCAATGATATGGGATGTAGAATGCTCATTCTATCGGATATACACTTTCATAGACAAAGCAGATTTTCCAAACAAAATAGAACTGACTTTACTATATTCAAAAAAATGTGATTATCTTTTTATGTTAAGAGTAGCTTAAATTAAATATGTTTCAAAATAACCTCCATCTCTTTCATTGCTATATATGAGCTTAAAAGAAAATCTCATTCATGAAATGAATATTTATCACTAAAATCTAAATTTCAATGTTACTATACATCTTTCAATGATTATAACTGATCAGATTATGTGCCATATTTTTTGGAACATAAATTATTATAGTATACTATATTGTCACGTGTTCAAATAAAGCAGAGGTGTTTGTAATAACCAAGTAATTTACAGTGATCAACTGCACACAAAAAAACAATCGATAAAAACTGAAAAGTTGTTGCGTAGCATAATGAAATCAACTTTTTACTATCATAATTACCCATTTCGGTTTTTGTTTGTATCTTTTTTTTTTACAAAATACAGTGTGAGCATTTTTGAAATTTAAGACTGTGAAATTAATACTGCCACATTGTTTCCATCTGTTAAAGAATGAATAACAGTGATGCTGAGAATAACAAACCTTTCACAGCAGAAAATTGATCAGTAAATTGGTATGATGGCGGTTTAATCATTGAAATGCTCAGATTTCAGCTAATACATCACAAATGCATACCTCACTTAATCTACTTCGATTTGGCCAAGCGGGTAGCATCATCAAAACCTTACACAAAAGTTGTACTTCAATTTTGTGTAAAAGTATGAAGTTGGTAAATGAGAAATATTGATTTATCTTCATCTACCAGTAAGATCGTATGTAAAATTCAAGAATAAATTACTGTTCTTGAAAACTACGTGAATAAATATGGGGGAGTGTGTTATAATTCTGATCCAGGAATATGAAATATTTTATGTAGGTTATTTAAAGCCAAATCGTGATTATGATTTTAAATATTACGTAAGCTAGCTGACGTGAACCAAACAAAATAAAATGAATTCATTTTATTCTGCTCAAATATTTGTTTTTGTTCTCTTCAAAATGAAATACCTTAGCTATATGATGTCTGATTATTTCACTGCACTATATACATAGATTTCATCGTGGATGACTGAAATCCTTCAGTTAACCAAAATGAAAATATACATATATGAATAAATGACAAATATTAGACGTAATCCAATGAATGGTTTCGATCAAATTTGCTACTCTAAACAAGGTTTCAATCATTTAGACAGTTAACAGAGGTGCGGATAGGCTAGCAGTGGAATCCAGGACACGCGTTTCGTCCTACGTCGGATTCATCTTTGGCCAGATGTACCTGCATCTCGAAATTCATTCTCATTCAGGGATTCAAATCGAGTACCGCTCGCTTCAAACGCCATCGCGTTGTTCACGTAGTTTCTGAGTCCAGACGGGCAGCCGCTTGTGTAACGAGGTGAAGAGTAATTTATTTGTATTGGTAGTTTGGCGGCTGCGTTAGATTCGATGTAGGGCTCGCTACTTTAGTGGCTTGCAATTCGACTCTGATATTTATGAACAATTAAATATGCTATAAAATAAACCTCGCCATCAATTTCCGTATATTATACTTAGGTGAACCCCGTTTGTGCAAGGGCGGTAATCAAGAAGCCAAACACGGATTAGGTTGGATGAATTTATTTCAGGCAATCGTTCATGCAGGCATGATCACGAAGAGCAGTACAAGCAAAGAGAAACGAAGAAGGCGAGCGAGCCAACTCGATTTGATGAAGAATGAAAAAGCATTTATAGCGAGACAAAGTAAACCAGCCATGTAATAAGCGAGGTAAGTGTGCACACACAAAAATAGAAGCAACCGAGATATAAGAGAATGACTGACAAGATCAAAAGACAAGTCAATAATATCTTAAGAATAGCGGACTAATTAATTCGTCCAAAGGCTGAGACAAGCCTTGTGGGCTCGACATAAAAGTAAACACACTACAATAGTTTATATCTTTTCAATGATGTTTAGAAATATAATTTTAGAGCATTATAAAATCTGATTTTGTTCATTAGAAACTTCATCCCATTCCAATTTGAGGAATTGGTTACAACGCGATGACGTTTGAAACGAGCGGTACTCGATTCGAGTTCCGGAATGAGCATCAACTCTAAGATGCAGGTACATCCAGCCAAAGACGAATCCGAAATAGGACGAAATGAGCGTCCTGGATTCTGCTGATAGCCACTGTACATGCACTGAACTACAACTGCACTACAAATATTTTCACAAATACAACTATTTAACATTTGTCCAATAATTATGGCTTATTTATCCATTTAAATCAAAATATACTGCGTGAATCATTTTAACCAATTAAAAGCAACATGTGTTGTAATGGTGAGCTAATTACATCTACTCACATACATTACACCCAAAACACACTTGATCAAATTCGATCAAACTTCAATTGTGAAAGACTGATTTTAAGATTATTTCGACTTTTCTTATCACACTTTAGGAGATGAGGACAATGATTAGTCATCACATAAGTAATCAGAGTTTAATAATCATGATCAATACTGATTGTAATGAGAGTACTAGACCGAGTCTACATCATCATACGATATCGAAGAATGAATCGAAGACCAACCAAAGTTAAATTTGGAAACTACTGAATGCCGACTTAGTCATCTAAAGGTTGAGAGTGCACTGAAGGACCAAGGGGTACCAGGTTCGATTGCCGATTGGGTCGTGGATATGCACTACTGGAGTCTTATGATGGAATGAAATAGTTATCAAACGCTTCCTGGCTTTTAACAGTTATTTGACGAAGATCAAAATGTGATGTAAACTATAAAAGAAAAGAATAATCGCTACCCTAAATTTTTTTTCAATAAGAAGGTGACATTGTCATTTGTGATTTGAAAGATAGCCTTACAATTCAATGATACAAGCTTGACAATTAAGAAAATGACTTTAAAATGCAACTTATTTGATAAATGATGTTGGTGTATTCTTCAAACCATATTAACTACATACAATTCTATAAATATATATACGGGTTGTAAAAATATGTCACATTGTCAGTTCTATTTCGAAAATTATACTCTACAATTTTATTTAAAGATTCATCAAACTCAACAATGAAGAAAGAGTTATCCGTATAAAATAATATATTATCGAAAATTTTCAATAAACCAAGGCATATATTAATAAGTCTTTAAGTAACAATAAGTCTTAAAGTAACAATAAGTCTTTCAGATATGACAAACGCTCGTTGAAATATTTTAAATCAAAGAAGCTAATCCTATTTTGCATGTGGTGTACCTTGAATTAACAAAGCATTAAGGAAAGATAAACAATGACTAGCAGTGTAATCTAGCACATACGCTTTGCCCTATTTGGAACTCGTTAGTTAGACGTAAGCATATGGCTCGATTCCAGTACCTTTCTCTTCAAATGTCAATGCGTTATTCCCTGAGCGCTATGGATTCCAGATAGTCATCAGTTTGTGCATTGAGGGATGAAACTCGTATCCTGGACTCTACAACCAGCCATTATTCATCTTCCATTACAGTACTTATAACTTAGTGGGGCAATTCGTTCAAGGTGCGTATATGTCAAGAAAGAGTGATCGAAATTCAGTTCTTAACATCAACAAAAATATGATCCAAGAACTTAAAAATAAATTAATAAAAGGATTTTTTAACATACAGTCAATTGCTAACAGAGCGATTATTATATTAAATTAATCAATAATCTAATTTTTGATCGCTTCTCATTAACTAGTAGTATTTGTTAACTGGACGCTTAGAAGCAGTCATAACGAAGTCAGTAAACCAATAAATTTGATATCTTCTTGTGCATAACAGTAAACCAATATTTACGACGTTAAATACAGACTTTTGGGTCTTTTAAAGTTGACACTTAGATTATTACTTTAGCTTAAAGCAGAATGTTTGTACAGAAGAAATTAATTATTAAAGTTCCATTCATGCAATTTACTCGATCATATAAAATAGAGTAAGTAGTTACAGCTCAAAGAGAGTTTGTCTGAACAATAAACAAATGAGTTATTAGGTAGAAATACGTTAATTTATTGAAAGTTAGGCTATTTTGTACAGAAGTATTTTTACTTCAAGTTAAACATCCCCCAGGTTTACAAAAACACACTTCAGGCATCAAAATTAATTTGAACTGTCAAGCATTAAATATAAAGTGTCTATCAGTGAATTATCTAGAAATAGCTACACTTTACAATGTAAATACGCATATTCAAAATAAAATCAGACTGGATTACATACCTGGGAGTTCTAACGATAGGAGTAGTGGTGAAAACTTCCGAACCGTCTGGATTAATTTCTTTTTTAGGCAGCCACTGATCATTTCCTTCATTTGGTAGAATTATTTCCGATGGAATTAGTGAATTTCGATTTTTACGTCTTTCCAAGATGATTGGATCTTGGAGAGGAAGAAAATTAATCAAAATTTAAAAATCATTAAAAATTCAATGCATACTTGCTTTTATAATATTCGATTTGGACAATCTTCTTAGCTGTTGTTGATCTGCCTGATTTCTAACAGAATCATTGTTGGCTTCTTTGAAAATTAATTCTTCATTTTTCAATTCATTTCCATTCTGACTACTATCCATTCTCTCCAATTGATTCAAATTGAAATTTTGTTGATTTGATGCTTCCCATATTTGTAACTCTTGTAATATATCTGATATTTTAATTAATCCATCTTTATCTGTATCAAGTTCATTGAACAATGTTAATGATAATTCACTGGATATATTAATGGTTGAATTTGAACATAATTTTATCCATTCCATTTTGTTTAAATCACCGGAATTTTCAAAATCATAACTTTGTAAAAGTTTCTTTAAATTTTCAATTGACATATTTTGATAGTTTATATTATGATTTTATTATTATTATTATATGGTTTTGATTATAATATCATATATCACATAGATGAAAAAATAACAATAAAGATCCAAAAGATATCTTGGAAGATATAATAAGAAGTTCTTTCATGAATTAATGAATATATATATTTATATATATTCTTCAATGGGATTGAATTGACAAAATTGTTCAACTATTATTGTCTCCACAAAATAAATTAACTCATCTACTATTATTTATTAGCTTCGTTGTTTTCTTTATTTTACATACTTTTATTAGTCACATCATTTTGTGTGCATTTTATAAAACAACCGTAATTCTGCACAAAATGAAGGTCATCCATTCAACCAAACATACAAACAAGCTCCAACTCTAATCTGATTGGTTACATAGTTTTACTAGAGTTGATTAATTGATGCATTTATTGTTAGCACTACTAAACCTCGACAAACAGTAAAAGCGCAAAAACAACTCGCTTTAAGAAACATTAATCTGTTATAAATTATATGAAAATTAAATTCAAAAAAAACCACCACTAACAATAATTATTGCTAGAGTATTGAAAAGAAAATTTCAACCAACGATAAACATTTTGAAGCTAAACATTACATTACGCACATTACATAACGTCAAAAGAAAAAAACATTTCATTGATGGAATCAACCAAAAATATTAAAATGTTGTGATAATCAAGGCAACGAATTGAAGATTCAAACTGTCTTGAAAATAATTTTCAATTGTTTGATACTAATTATAGCATATCAAAAAGCAGTTGATAGAAAAAAGTTTTATTTTTTAATCAATTAAATTGTATTTTCATCAGAAATTAAGTATTTTCGGTTCAAACAAAAATTCTTTATGGATGATGGAATTGCCGAAAAAGTTATTCTAACATAGTGAGTAGGTTATAAGTTAAAGGAATTCACTCCAAGTACATGTTAACCAAGGTGACTGACACCTATTCACCGCTATAACCACAGTAATCACTAAACTTCAATTACCAATTTAATAGATTATCATAGCCATTCATTGGCCATAATTAAAAGAATTCCATCTCAGTATAATGACTTTTTTGTTATAACGAAAAATATTAATCTATTTATCATCCGTTTAGCAAACGCTTTCCTTATAAATACAATGCCGTATTACACACAAGAACACTTTAGTTATACGCCATTATAAACGTCATTGAAAGATAAGATCAGTACGCTCCCTTCGGAAAAATCAACCAGATGAGTCAGAATTTATCTCAATATGAACTGATTTCTCCATTCAGAAATGAACTTTGAATGCCTTGAACCACCAAGTAACAAATAGCAGTGTTAGAAAAAGGGTGCTAGGTGAGGAGGGTAGATCAAGTGATGAAGTAGTGAAAATTTATCAGTTGAGGTGGTTGGGATATGTATTATGTATGCCCAACCATCGACTGCCTAAATGAGTGGTGCTGTCTGATGTAGGGGTTGGCTAGAAGAAAGCGATGGGCGACCAAAACATGGCACCAGAGCATGAAATCACAGATAAGTGAACTGGGCCATATAAGTAGGTGTAGACTACCAGGTTGGGGTCTGTGAGAAAATAGTAACCGATGATTAGAGACATTGAATCACATAGCTTAAAATCGTTTGTAGTCGCGCAAGTGCACCCATTCTGTGCGTTCTCTCAAAACCTAGTCTTCTGAATTCACTACATTTTTTCTCTTCTCAAATTTATTCCACTGAGGTATTTTTCACGAATAATATCTTCATTTCCCTAATCTTTTTGAGTACTGCTAATACTTCTACTACCTCAACTACTATGAGATTTGAAGTGACCATTCGTTCGCTGTGTGGTAATGTGGTATGGCAACTTGAACTGACGTACGTACATACCAAGTTCTACGTTGTAGCTGACTGACTGACTGAAACTTTGGATGCAAATAAACTGAAATGTTAGTTCCTACATTTCCATGATGACTACTGAAGAGTACAATTATTGTGTAGTGATATCAGATCATTCGAAAATGAAGTCTAATTAATGCTTATCAATTAAGTCAGCTAGGATTAATTCTTGCATCGCAAGAGAAACCCTAACTTGAAACTCTCAAGGCAAAAAGAAAAGAGGAGAACTGAAAAATGCATAGCACAGGCAATTAGAGGCAGACATTAAAAATATAAATATTATTTGGCAGAAACTCGGAAGGAAAGCCCAGAATGGAGAAAGTTGGAGATTCCTAGTTAGTTCCTCATACCGCATGGGGAGCAAAAGACTTAATTTAGTAAAAATCAGTTCTAATGGTAAATACGATAACCATTTCACAAAAAATGACTCACTTACTTTTAAATGGAACTGTTTCAAATTATTACCGGTTTAGAAGTTAAATACTCAAGAATATGATAAGTGAAATTATTGATGGCACCTCGGTGCTCCTCACCTATCCTTCATAACAAGTTTTTTTATGACAATACATATAAATGACAAGTTACAAATATAAAAGTAACTAGCAGTTTACATTTGCATAATGATATTAGGTACCACATTATTTTCACATAATTAGTGTACTGAATTGTACTTTCCTTGTGTATTTTCTAGAAATTATAACGAGTACTGCAAAGTAACCTATCAATGTTTTGTTTCAGTCTGTATTTATCTACTCAAAACTCGTCTGTCGGTTGTACTCCCATAATTTATATTAGTTTGTATTAATCTCATGATATATACTATTTAAGGAAACATATGATTACTGTGACTTAAAATTAGTTCTAGAATATTCTTTATTCACAGTCTAATCAATCGTCGAAAGCATAATCATAACATGAATGCAATTCCTTGTGTATTAATAATACACAACTAACTGAATTCTCTTTAGTTACTTTAAGAAAGGTTTATTTTAATTTCAATAAAATATTCTAAGAAATGGTAGTTAACAAAATGTTGATGAATTTTTATCAAGTAAAGAAGAGAAATCAATGGATGTTGATTTGCAATTCATCATAGCTTGAAAAAATTATTATCATTTATTATTGACAAGATAACAACAAAGCTATTTTTGACTATTAGGAAGATTCTCAAAATAAGATCAACATCCTAAATACTAATGTACTTTTTTTATTTACACAAATTCTAGCTTTTTACTTGATATTTTATAAATTTATGATGTTCTGTTCTTCTTAAACCGACTAATGGCATAAGAAATATTCCTAAATTTAAACTGTTATGACATCTTTTCTGGAACCAGAATAATGGTGATTTCTGATGAAATTACTCATACATCTTACTAGTGAGTGAAAATAAATGCAAAACCACAACACTGAAAGAACGTGCCAGAACCGTTGAATACGTTAATGGCTATCTGCAGTAACTGTGTGAATAAGGCATTGGCATTTAAGGCGAATTGTACTGGATTGGAGTGAAGATATCAACGCTGGTATGTGTGAGATATCCATCTACCAACCAAGGGATGGGTTTACTGCGCAACTGGCCGTGAAACATGATATTCGTAGGTTACTGGCTTTCGATCACTGTTCGTATATCCTGGGACTATTCAGTAAGCAATGCTGCTGTTAGGAAACGGGTACTAGGTGAGGAGGGTAGATCAAGTGATGAAGTAGTGCAAGTTCATCAGTTGAGGTGGTTGGGACATGTGCTACGTATGCCCGACCGCCGACTGCCTAGAAGAGCGATGTTTCGTGGTGTAGCAGTAGGTTGGAAGAAAGCTAGGGGCGGCCAGAACAAAACATGGAACATATCCATGAAGTCAGTGACAGCTGGACTGGGCTGTGTTGATACGTGCAGACTACTTGATTGCGTTCCGCGAAACAATGGTAACCGATGGTTAGAGACACTGAGTCACATGGCTCAAGATCGTTTGCAATGGAACAAGTGCCTCCACTCTTTGTGTTCTCTCAGATTCTTATCTTTTGAATTCCTCATCAGCTCTGTCTTTCTCTTTAATTTATTTCAATAGCTTATGCTCTTTGGATAACATCTTCAAACCATAATCATCCCCTTTATCGCTATACTTGTACTATCTCTACCACTATGGGATTTGAATCGACAATTTCAGCTCTGTGCTATCGTAGTACGGAGACTTGAACTGATGTACGTACGTACGAAGTTCTACGTTGTTGCTAACTGACTGAGATATACGTGTATTCAGCTGACGAGACCAACATAATATGAAACGCGCATCCTAGACTCCACTGCTAGCAGCAATATACCTATTCATTGGGACGATACGACTATTTGTGTACTTGTATTATCAAATAAACATGTATCTGAACCTCATTTTGATTTCCTTGTTTCTAAGTTTAAATATTAATTTAACCTAATTAACTGTTCGGTAGCATTTAAAAATGAGGTAAATCTTGAAATAAATGAACCGCTAAAGTTCATTCTGGATAAACACATTCAGCAATGTTATTAAAAACAATGCCATACGAGAAAAGATACACTACAAGTATATCCACTTCTCATCCTAAAAAAAAAAACTAAGATTTGTTTTTTAGACATTGCCCACCCAACTGACGACAAAACATACTGATTGAATAAGCTCGTCCTATTGATCTGATCTAGAAATGTCAACAAGCTAGTAGTACGCAGAAAAGGTATAGAGATTATGTTAGTTTAAAGACAATCTTCAACACGAACTGAAGCTGTAGAGAACCAAACAGCTGTATCTACTCATTTTAGATCTACACAAAACTTAGTGCTTAAAATCTTTGAGGTCTGATGATGAACACAATACTAAAATATTAATAAGTAATTGACTCTTTTGGTGAAAATGATCGTTCATGAAATATATAGCAGTACCGCTCCAACTGTTACTAAGACTTCGTTTTACTGAACAGGATAATAGATAAATTCAAAAAAAAACTAATAAAACAATTCTCTTCACACCAATCCTACATGAACAATCCTCCAGATGAATTTACAACTGATTCATTATTTATTCGAGAAATTTACTTCCATCGTATCAATTAAAAATCATAAACTTTTCTTTACTTGTACCTATGACTAATGATTTGATTTTTCATCACCTGACAAAACAATACATAGATTATCCGTGTAAACTAGGCGTTTTCCATCGTAGAATCCAATATTGTATTTTTATCCAAAATCATATGTCAAATGTTTAATCATATATTATAAGGAGCATGTGCTAAGTTATTATAACAAACAATAGGAACATTTAAGCACCTTATACATTTTTCAATTCAACCTGTTAGGAGAAATGATAGGAAATAAGAATTGAATTCGTAACAACCCCCCCCCAAGGTTATCTGTTGAAATAGTTTGTTGACCAGTTGTCATCATGAAATGTTAACTAATAATCTTTTTCTAGTTTCTTTTTTCATCAGTAATTATCAATACAATTACGATAAAATATCTTCCAAAAAAAGTGGTCATTTACTTAACAGCAAGTTCAACTGTAGATTATAAAATAATTAACTGAGTTCTGTTACTTCTAATTTACAATAGCACAACTATTTTGCAAAAAGTAGATGAAGTACATTCAGAAAATCTCACGGTGATTGAGTAAATAAAAATAACTAAATTCTATTAGTTCCTTTCAACTCTTCCTTCCAGTGTTATTTTACAGATATCCCAAGAAACGTAGCTAAATTCTATCATATAAAAGACTTTTTAGTAATATTACATAGTATGACAATACTACCCAGCTACTTCAACGGTACTAAGTCATAGAAAAAATGAGATCCAGAAGAAATGGCATCATATTTGGATGGATTCCAAAAACTGGAAAAGATTTGTACTACATCTCATTTAGAATAGTATTTTGGTGGGACTGTGTATGTATATAGATGACAGACAACAAGTTGGCTTTTCCATGAAATTTTATACGAAGCATACATTAAACGTAATTTTTCCACAGTATTTTGTCAAGTAAGAATACGACTTTGAACTCTTAACACCCTGAGTGACATCTTTACATTTAATTCAGCTTATTTTAGGTCAACCAGTTATTTCAACGACCAAAGATTTCCTACCAAACAAGTGTGGGAATGGATGAAACAAGTCACAATATATAAAAGATGCTCATTATGCGTTCATAGAGGAAATGGGTAACTACAGACGAGAATGATACCGTAACCAGTAGTTTGATGGTGGTTAATGCTACATCGTCGGAAAGATAAGTGTTTATGTGAAAATAAACTCTGAACTTTTGGTGTCAATGCTCTTAATGAAATACTACTATATTCAGTATAACTACAGACTGAAAAATACATACAACTTTTGGTTCTCGATTTGAACTGCAGTATGATATTACTCTCCACGTTGAACTAGGCACAGTTGAGACTTGAGTAGATGGACTGTAGTGATTAGTGACAGAAGTTCTGATTGCATAAGTAAAGCTGTGCTATAAGGAACATACCTGTGTTAATGAAAACTTCAAGGGAAAGAGGAAGTTTTGGTTTCCATATACTTATAATGGTTTACACTTATTTGGCCTTAACGGAGTAATACTCAGTACTCAATAATTCAACTACGATTAATGAAACACTGAAAACTACAAAAATAATTTTAAAAACGCCATTTTTTGCACACAGAAAATACTAATACATATTTGTATTCAGATAAATGTAAAAGAATAGCTGATGAGTTAGTTTAACAAGTGGTTAGTCCAAAAGTTCACAGAACACCATAAAAGATAGATTGCATAAGAATAAGAATTTTAAGAAATCAATAAAGAAATTCATATACACAGAAATATATTTTTAATCGATAATATCACAATAGATGTTGTTCAACAGAAACAAAAAATGCTAGAAAAACTACAAAATCAAATGAAGATTATAATCCCAAAATATTAGGCAGCTGATATTACAAGCCACGAAAGAAATACATAGAATAAAACTATTGGATATACGGATAAAGCAACACGATTTTTCGGCAGTGTAGGATGAACAAAGATAAAAGATGCATACGATGAATAAACTAACCCAGAAATAACGATCAATAATCGTATAATAAAAACAAATAGAGAGTTAGAACTTGTGAGCAAAAGCAGTCGACATATAACCAAGCCAATAACAAGAGGTAAAATACAATACCCCAAAACACATACGGTTTGTAGGAATGACCTTTTAAAGAAAAACAATACGTAGATTTTAATCAAGATATTTACTATTATATACGAAGTTAATGTATTAGTCAGAAAAAGAATTATACCTTATTTTGAGTACATGTTTTAGTAGTAGTAGTAGTAGTAGTAGTAGTAGTAGTAGTAGTAGTAGTAGTAGTAGTAGTAAAAGTTAAAGTTATGTTTCTATCAAAAGGAATTCAGCTATTAAATATCCTTTTACAACGTTTATGCCTCAATTCAGAAAAAAAATAATCTTTTTGAAAAATTACGTTCTACTAATGAAGAAACAGTAATGTAGCATTTTAAAATTTTCTGATTTCGGTAAGCAATATTGAGACAAACAATAATCACTTAACTAATCGACATACTGGTTTGTTTAAAAGATAATCTTGTTTCTTAACTGGATGTTGATCATCAACCAACAATGAGTTACCATCAAGTTCAATACAACTCAACTCTTAAACGTAAACAATGCGAAGAAAGAAGTACTGGTTTATCTAATCTTTCACTTAAGTGAGTAGTTTTCGATCAAAATAGAAAATGGAAATCTTTTTTACTCAGTGAGGACTAAACAAAAAAGCCAACAGCGATCTGTTGATAAAAGTGTTTAACATTCAACTGTAAGGTTATAGGTTTCGACTTTCTCCATGTTTCAGTTCATTATACCCAAACTATGACTCAAAGTTGATGATAGAAAATCATATTTGGTCACTGAATTTCACTGACTAATAATTCATAGTTAAAAAACTGTTAAAAGTGCGCACGACCTTGAATTGATTTAGCCCGATAATTCTTACAAACTTGTTATATTATAATTTTCTACTGAGATTTCTGAGGTGAGCACTAGTTTCTTTAAAAACAATATAAAAAAACTGATAAATTTAAGAGTTAATCAACTTAGTCAAAAATATATGCTTACACTGCACCACCAAGTAATTTAGAATTCAAAGTCACTATTGCTGAACCCAACCAGAAAATGACGAAGACTTGAGCGAATTCAGGTCCACCATGTCCGGAACTTTCTAAGTTTGAGCTGCTATGCAAGAGCCTAATATAAATAAACAGAAAAAAATTACAATCATAATCCAAATGAAACCATTCCGTCTGGTTCAGCATTTTAAGAAATAACGGTGCACGAGATATTGTGCCTTTAGAATGTATCAATTACAGAAAAAATATTAGCGATGAGGAAATGAATATGAGACATTAGATATAAGTGATTTATGGATACGGAAGCGACAGCAAATAGAAAATACCATAACCCGCTTTTTCTGTCGTAATATTAGATGCTAGTCAGTCGGTAAGTCACTCAGCTAAAACACGAGAAGATATTAAGCGATGGTTAGAGACATTGGATCGAATTGCACCAAATCGCATACGTTCTCTCAAATCCTATTCCTTGGAATTCTTCATCACCTACATTTTTCTCTCCTCAAATGTATTTCATTAGATTATACTCTTTGAATTATATTGCGTCTCTGCGCTAATAAGCTATGGCAACTTGAACTGACTGATTTACGAACGTACGAAGTTCCAAATTGTAACCGACTAAATGACCGATTGACAAACGTAGAACTACTCATCTATGTATGTACATACATCAGTTCAAGTTGCCATATCACACTACCGAATAAATATGCAATTGTAAATTAAAATAACATAGTGGTAAATATAGTAGAAGCATTAGTGGAAATGGAGAAAATTAAGTTTCGAAGAAATTATTCAAGAAGTATAATCCAGTAAAATAAACTTAAAAACAGAAAGATAAAGGTGATGAGGAATTCAGAAAATCAGAATTTCATAGGACACAGATAGTGGATGAAACTGAACCATTCCAAACGATTTTGAGACACGTCATTCAAAGTTCCTAACCATCTTGCATACCCCAACCTGATAGTCTACACCTACATACATGACGCAATCCACTTGTCGTGGACCACATGGACTTGCTCCATGTTTTAGTTTGGCTACTCCTAGCTTTCTTCAAGCCTACCCCTACATCAGACAAATCGCTCATTGAGGCAGTCGGTGGTTAGGCGTACGTTATACATATCTCGAATAACTCAACTGATCAATATTCACTAATTCAACAATTAATCTACCCTCGTCCTAGCAACAGCATTGCTTACTCGATTGTACCAAGATATATGAGCAATGCTTCGGAGACGCCTATGATCGAATACTAGTAACCTACGAATATCCTCAACTCTAACTGGCCATGTTTCACACCCACCGAGCAGGACGGAGAGAACTACTGCGCAGTACACTCGTCCTTTGGTTAGCAGACACATATTTCGTCAACGCCATAAGTGAGGAAAGTTGGAAAAAGCCAGTCGAGACTTCTGCGATCGTGCAGAGATTTCGTCAGACATCAGGCCATCAGTACTGATGAGACTCTCGAGATAAGTGAATCGGTCGACACGCTCAACTGCTTCACTCATTATCACTAGTCCAGGTTCTGATATAAGCAAGTCCTGAAGCAACAATTTGCATCGCGAGAGGGAGAATCGCATCCCAACATGGTTGCATTGTTGTTTAAGGTGGTCAAAAGACTGCATTTTGTCAGCGTCTTGGCCAATTATAACATATTCTAAGTCAACAAACGAATCTTCTAGTAAAAGGTCAACTCCTGAAAAGTTAGATGATAAAAGTGTCGTATCCAATAGCATTTCAATGACAAAGTGGAATAAGAATAGAGAAAGCGCGCAACCTTAACGAACACCACTTGAAGTGATCAGTTCGGATGACAGTGCGCTATATGCTTTCACTTAAACAACAATCGTGTGCTCAATGTGAATAACTTTGACGTGGACTTTCAAAGTCTTGACAAGTACCAGTTATCTACAGAGTAAACCATGAGGAGTAACGTATGTGTATCTATAGATTTTGAAAGTCAGCTGTGTCGTATAAACTAACTGTGGTTAAGGAATACAGGATAACAATCCCCACTGGTCCGTTCAAGCACTTAAACTATTCGACACATAAAAGAATGTTAACATTATGTGAGGATATCAATCGATAAATTATTCGGAACTTATCTTCTGTCTATCATAACTGACAGTTTGCTTTTCTCAGAAGCATTTATTACTCGACCGTAGATGCTACCTTGACGTGGTGGTCGGGTTGCTTATCTTGATGACCCGACGGAGCCACATTAGCTGGAACATACGTTCCCAAAGGTTCTACCATGCCAGGCAGGTCGATTGGAGAACGATGAGACTAAAAGCAGCTACTCAAGGTCTGAGGGCGAAGTCGTACTGCTGACTGCAGAGAGGTGTGACAGCAGTAAGGTGTTTCCCTCGGACAACCAGCATCCGCAGCGATGCTGCCTTCTCACAAGGAAGGGAGGGTTAGAAAAGGTCGACCCTAAAAATATCACACCTCATCCTACCTCACAGATTCCCATCTCCGTCGGTGAGGCCTTTTAAACAACAGAGAAGCTAACATTTCCAAAACTTCCCATAAAAAGGCCGCGCGAGACTGGGCTCAAGAAGTTGTCCCTTGGGTTCTGCGGTCATCACCCCAGGTCGTTAAGACCAACACTAATCTACCTTCTTTTTCAGGTCCCTCAAGAAACAACCTTCCACGGTATTGGCAGCCGGGAATCGACAACCGGCACCATACCCGCAACAGCACATGAGACCAAACTGGTCAAAATCTAGTCCTTCCTACACCCCCTAATATCTCTCTTATCTCCACGAGCAACTCTACTCACATTCATTTATCACAGTGCACAGCTAATGCAAACAATGTGAGTTCATGAAACATTATTCCTAGTCTCCTGAAACCCCATTCTAGACTACATGTTGGAGCTTTTAATGTTCGGACATTGTGTCAAATAGGGCAACAGACTTCCTTAGCTAGGACATCAGAATCTCGCGCCATCGATGTATGTCGCGTCTCGGAAACGCGCATACAGGATCCTAGTAAAGTCATCAATCTGATTTCACCTTTTCAAAATAAAGAAGTAACTCGATTTACTCTTCGTGTATCCGGTAGCCGCGATGCTGTTCAGACGAGGTTAAAGATGAGTTTTACAGAGAGCTTTCGGACCTCCAACAAAAAGCTAGGCCCTCTGATATAGTCATAATGGCTGGTGACTTTAATGCTCAAGTAGGTAGACTACGTGAAAAGGAAATACAGCTGGCTGGATCTTATGGTGTCACGGCTAAGAGAACAGATAATGGAGACCGTCTGTTGCAACTATGTTCAGATAACCAACTATTTCTAGCAAACACTAACTTTAGGCATAAGGAAAAGTATCTCTTGACCTGGCGACTCCCAGAGTCGTCTCAACGTTGGACCCAAACTAGATCACATTGCCATCAGCCAACGATGGAGGGGTTCGATAGGGGACTATCGCTCGTTCTGGGGCACATGTTTAGATTCAGATCATGCCCTAGTGCGAGTGCGTATTTGTTTGAGGCTTACTTGACGTAGGAAAGACACCGCAAGGAAACCTGTAAGCGTTTTACTTGATGATAATAGAGCTAAGAATATAATTCAGGAGCGACTGGAAAGACAGGTGACCATGTAAGCGATTCCCATCCGGAAGCAGGTTGGAATGATATCAAAAAGGTTGTGGAAACGGCAGTGATATCTGCTAGCAAGATAAACCATAAGGCTATTAAGAAGCCGTGGATCTCAGTAGCATCCACCGAATTGATGGATGCTCGAAAACTCATCCCACCTGACCCTGAGTGCGATGAAGAGCGGAGTCAGCATAGACGTAGGCTGACAAAAAGCCTGTGCAATGATCGAAAACAGTAGTGGGTGGCGAAAGCTAGAGAGATGGAAAAGGCAGCGTCGATCGGCAACAGTAAATAGTTGTTCCGCTTTATAGAGGAAACCAGTGTTAGAAATCCATCTGTTAGCGAAACTATCTCAGGGAAGGATGGTCTTATTATTCATTCTCAATCCAGGAGTTAAGATCAATGGGCAGAACACCTTAGGGATCAGTTTAACTGGCCTTCAGCCACAATTCAGTTACTCACGATCTCCAGTCATCCTGAGTGCCGAATCGATGTAAGTCCTTTCTTTAGGAAGTTGAGACAGCAGTTTTAGCAGCTAGATTGACTGAGATCTTAGGTAGAATCTGAGAACTGGACACAATCCCATCCGACTGGTCTCAATCAAAGATTTTCCAAATCTATATAAAAGGACAAAAGTCTTCGCGTGACAATCACAGAGGAATCAGTCTAACTAATATATTATCTAAAATTTTGGCCTCAATAATACTTCGGCGCTTAACGAAAGTTCGTGAAGAGCAGACTAGAGAAAATCAGGCTGGTTTTCAACCTTGACGTGGCTGTATAGACCACATCTTCACACTACGACAGGTCCTGGAACACAGACACACATTTAGGGGTCCTAGGATAGTTTTCTTCCTGGACCTAAAGGCGGCATTCGACTCAGTGGCAGTCTGTCGCTGAAAGGTGTACCAAAGAAGTACATCAATCTTATACAAGCTCTCTATTCGAACACTACAAGTACAGTTAGAGCTTATGACGAACTGTTGTCGGAATTCTCTACTTCAAGTGGTGTACGTCAGGGATGTCCACTCTCTCCATTCTTGTTTAATTTTGTCATGCTCCTAGACATAACATTATCTTCGTCAGCATTTTCAGGAGTAGACCTTCTACCAGGAGGCTTGTTTATTGACCTAGAATATGCCGATGACATAGTTCTATTCGGTGAAGACGCTGATAAAATGCAGAGTCCTCTGATCACCCTAAGCAACAATGCAAGCATGTTCGGGATGCGGTTCTCACCCTTGGAATGCAAAATGTTGCTTCAAGATTGGGTTACATCAGCACCTGAAATAGTGATAGGGAGTGAAGTAGTTGAGCGCGTTGACCGCTTCACGTATCTGGGTAGTCGCATCAGTGCTGATGGTCTGATGACGGACGAAATCTCAGCACGCATACAGAAGGCTCGGTTGGCTTTTGCCAACCTGTGTCACTTATGGCGTAAGCGACATATCCGTTCGCTGACTAAAGGACGAGTGTACTGAGCAGCAGTTCGCTTCGTCCTACTTTATAGCTGTGAAACATGGCCAGTGAGAGTAGCAGATATTCGTGCGTTACTGGTTTTCGATCATAGATGTCTTCGAAGCATTGCTCGTGTATCTTGAGACAACCGCGTAAGCAATGCTGTCGTTAGGAAACGAGTATTAGGTAGGGACGGTAGATCAATAGATGAAATATTGAAACCTCGTCAGTTGAGGTGGTTGAGACAAGTGTTACGTATGCCTAACCACCGACTGCCTCGTCAAGCTATAGGAATAGGCTGGAAGAAAGTTAGGGGCGGCCAAACCAAAACATGGCACAAATCCACGAAGTCACTGACAGGTGGAAGATCATGTCGGTAGGTGTCGACTACCTGGTTGGGGTCCTTGAGATGATAGTAAACGATGGCTCAAAATCGTTCGCAATGGCGCCGGTGCATTTATTCTTTGTGTTCTCTCAAATCCTAATATTCTGCATTCTTCAACACCTCTAGTTTCGACTCTCTAAACTTTTCTCATTTAATCATACTTCTTGAATAGTATCTTCTAATCCTAACCTCTCCGATTACTTCTAATTCCCTTACTACCTCTACTACTATTAGATTTGAATTGACAATTACTTCTCTGTGCTGATGTGGCATGGCGACATGAACTGATGTACTTACGTACGAAGTTCTACGTTGCATCTGACTGAGTGACTGAGTAAACGATGCTTAGAGACCTTGAATGACATGGCTTAAAACCGTTTGCAATGGCGCGAAGCATTCATTATTTGTGTTCTCTCAAATCCTTAACTTTTTAATTCTTCGTCACATTATCTTTTTAAGTCTATTTCACTAAATTCTACTTCTTGAATAGTATCTTTTAATCTTAACCTCTCCGACTACTTCTAATACCTTTACTACCTCTACTACTATTTGATTTGAATTGACAATTACATCTCTGTGCTAATGTGGTATGGAAACATGAACTGAAGTACGTACGTACGAAGTTCTACCTTGCTATTGATTGATTTCATTTATTACTGTAAAGGGTGAAAAAGATATGGAACTCCATTGATGTCAATGCCTATATGAATGACGTAGGCCTAATTTAACACAGACGTTTCTCATAGTTCTAACCAAGATCTGATCTTGACCAGACTATCAATGAATAACTGGAAACACCGGAGCTGCTTTGTGTTAGTGTTGGGTTCTTTAGTAGTGTACATCCATGATATCACTGTAGGGTGAAAAACCCTCGAGTATAGGCCCAGGCATATTCTAACGCAATACGTATAATATCATTTCGAGGGTCTAGCAACAAATAGACACATGATAATTATGGTTTATTTTTAACCAGACATGTTACCATTTTATTCTCGTGATATGACGCATGTGGATAACTACAAAGCTGAGATTTTTATTGCTTATTAATTGGACACCCAAAAAGGTGAACTCATAAAGCTTGGGTAAATCATCTTTAGCTTGTGATCTAGTTAGTCTCAAAAAATGATGACACGTTAAAACGGGGGACTTTAACATGAAAAATCTGTCATAAACTTGAATCGCATCGACACAACAAGAAGCAAGTGCAAAGAAACCAATCCGTTTATACTAGCTCACGAAAAATACTAGAAACTGGGAAGTGTACCAATACATGATGTTTAAAAAAATAATCCGAAATCAAATGATAAACATCACATAAAAATCTGTGCCATTTTAAAACTTAAATCAGTAAAAAAATGTTTCTGAAGCCTTAATAGAATCTACTTATATTTGGAACTGAGTTTCAATAGGACCTTAGTTATATTTGCTTACATTGAGTAGAACGAGGATAAGATAGGTCCATAGGGTTATATACATTATTTCAAATCAGTATTTGTACTAACTTACGCAGACATGATCAGACACAACACCAATGGGCCCCACAGATCCCCTAAGATAGCAAAAATTAGAACCACATCAGGAATTCACCTACATTCTTTCAACAACCCCTGTCCCTGGCGTGGGACCAGAACGTATGCAAACTTTTGACCAACAGCACGGGCTGATCTAAACTGCTCAAAATATTATAAATAAAACCAATTTACGATCGTATCTCGAATCGGTTCATCGAGTAAGGTCAAAGTATCTCCGGTATACTGTTCATTATCAACAATATGACCTTCTAATAGGACAGATCCCATATGCTAAACAATTAGGTATTTCCGACGTGACCTACGTGCCCTGATGACTGAAACTCTAGCATAAGGCCAGGAAATCCCAACACGTTTATATGACCTTTAAACCTTACTGACCTTCAAAGCTCCCAAAGTCCAATAATAACAATGAGCAAAAATGTATCCAATCAACTTAATATTGCTCTGAAATCCTGATGTACAAACATAATTTCAGTGTTTCAGTGGTATCCATCGATTCTCCATCCACTTCAAGATAAGTTATTCATCTACTATAAGTGCTGCATATTTGAAAGCTGTTAGTATTATTGTAAGGATATTTATGAAAAAATGTCTTTAGTTTTGTCCTGAATCCAAAGCCTTTTCTCCTAATCTCCCCATAATCAGCCATCTTAGGATCAGAACTACGCTTTTTGCGAATATTTCGGGTTTTTCACCATGTCATTATACGACAATCCGAGTACTTAATTGCTTATTCTTATGATGGATTCAACTGCGAAATCGTACACGAAGGTCAGCTGACAAACTCGTTTGATGTGAAGACCGATGTAAGGCAAGATCGCTTACTCTGACCCTTTATCTTTCTCCTGGTGATCGACTGGATTATGAAGACGTCAACATCTGGAGGGAAGCACGGTATCCAATGGACAGCTAGGATGCAGCTGGACGATCTGGACTTCGCAGATGACCTGGCTCTTCTATCGCACACGCAACGACAAATGCAAGAGAAGACGGCCAGTGTAACAGCAGGTCTCAACATACATTTAAGGAAAAGCAAGATTCTCCGATACAACGCAACATGCGCAAACATAATCACTCTTGATGGAGATGCCTTGGAGGACATTAACACCTTTACATATCTGGGCAGCATCATCGACGAGGAAGGTGGATCCGATGCAGATGTGAGGGCGCGGATAGGCAAAGCAAGGGCTACATTTCTACAATTGAAAAATATCTGGAACTCCAGACAACTGTCGACAAACATCAGAATCTGAATTTTCAATACAAATTTCAAGACAGTTCTACTGTATGGAGCGGAAACTGGAAGAACTACGAACTCCATCATCCAGATGACATAAGTATTCATTACTCGTTGTCTACTCAAAATACTTCAGATTCGTTGACCAGACACCATCGGCAACAAGGTACTCTGGGAGAGAACAAACCAGACTCCTGTGGAGGGGGAAATCAGGAGGAAGAGCTCTAGGTGGATAGGTACAAATTACGGAGAACACCCAATCGCGTCACAGGAAAAGCCCTCATTCTGAATGCCCAAGTTCAAAGGAAAAGAGGAAGGCTAAGGAATACATCAGGCCGAGAAATAGAGAAAGACGTGAGAAAAATGAATACAAGTTGGACGGAACTGGAAAGAGAAGCCCAGGAGAAGTAGGTTGGAGAATACTGGTTAGCAGCCTATGCTCCATTGGGGGCAACAGGCGAAAGTCAGTAAGTAATCAGCACTCTGGACCTACAGATGCCTTTTTCAAGACAAAAACAAAAATTAGATTTGCAAGGATGCCAGGTTCAGCAGATAAATGAAGTGTGAGTTGAAACTAAAAACGTTGCCACCTAAAGGTTGGTTTTCGGGCATAATCAGTGCTATTCAGACTGAAAAGAACTTCACCATAAGATATAGCTGATCACTTTCTTCAAGTGCTCATTCGGCCAGCCACATAAAAACACAACTTGCAGTCTATCTTAATGAAAATATTCAACTTCAGAAACACGATATTTATCCACATCACTATTGTTGGAAATAATTTGGAAACTTTAGCTTAGGGTGGACAGAATACGTTATCCCATAATTTATCCTGAAGAAAAATTGTCTAACGTTCCTGAAAAAATATTACTGTAAAAAGTTTAATGCATCATATAACTTGTTCCTTCATTGTTTTAAAGCTGATTAGTGATGGACAGAGATGGGAAGAATTAAAGAAACTCCTATATAATCTGCCAAAATAAGGTGACCAGAAATCAAAAATATTGCATTGTTCCTTATGGTCGATCCAAACTCGAACCATCACACGGTAAACACCTGTAACTTGTGGGTGATGATTTAGTGGTTCTCCAAGTTTCCGCTCCTTACTGAGGAATCATTTAGGCGGTCGCATTGGAAATTTGACTTGGTGCTGGTTGACTAATGTTTTGAGTCCCCGATGTTGTTCAAACGTAGGATCGCTGTCCTTACTTTTCTTTATGTATGCATTAGATCCACCTTGTTTATCAATGGCACTGCCCAGATATACAACTGACCTCACATCTTTAGAAAATTCTCCGTCAAGTGTGGTTTGGTTAGTGTATGTTGTGTTGCTTCGGAGCATCTTATTTTTCGTTTGTATATTGCGAGACCTACTATTGAAGAGGCTACTTTTACGCTGAACATCTTCAGCCACATTTGTGAGGAACAGAGAGAGCGTTTTTGAAGAATGAATCGTCAGTCTGTATCTACGCTGTTCACTGTATTTCGTGGTTCTCCTGAGAGGCTGATTTTAAAGCACTGACTATTCGTTCAATATAGAGTGATTAGTGTTTCTAAGTATGGATAGTTTTAGAACCACAGAAGGTTCTCTAAGTTTACAGTGATATTTCCGTGATGTTACAAACAACTGATCACATTATTCGGAACTATGGCCAACCATACATATAGTAATCCTTGATTAAACGATTCGCTCACCACTGAAAGCCTCTCCTATAGCAGCATGGATAAAAATACGTTGAACCATCATGTGTATGACTCACCATATATTAACATCTGACAATAAGTTGGGGTCAATCAAACTTTCTAATGGGGCGAACTGTGGTCTTTTTAGAGAACTTCGCGCTAGTCCAACCGATTATATCCTATTTAATCAAAATCTTTATCTAAACACACAGTGGACATGTTACGGCTGAATCATACGATCCCTAGAACATCTAAAAAATTGCCAGATGAGAGGTACTTAAAACTCCCAAATCACATTTTAATTCACTAATACGTATTGATATTTGTAACAGTTGACTTTTACTTCGAAAAGGATTACACGCCTTGTTTGAATGCTAAATATAATCGGTCTCTTTGTACATTTTCTGATCCTGTCAGTTACTCGAGTTTAAAGTTGTTTATTTTTACATTAGTGCGTGTGTGCATCGCTTACCCGGCTTTCGTCTGATTGTAAATACTTAGTCATGCCTCGTCACTTTGAGTGGGCTCACACGACTTAACCTCCCTACACCTTCTATTTTCTATCTGCTTACGCAAATGATAGGAATATATTCATAGAGAATAGCCCGTACTTGGCTCCTAATTACCGTCACCACACGAACGGGGCCTACCTAAGAATATGTGGAAAATAGACGAAAGACTTATTTCCGTTTAATTAATTGTCTATATGTCAGATCCTCATACACTTGGTCTTCGTTACCTAAACACTGATCCATACGACTATTGGAGTTTGAATTGAACCATTCTAGAAATTATTGTTTAACACTGTGAACTCAGTCAGTTGTGATTGACATTGATGCTCGAATACATGCATACTTTCTTGAAACAAGATACAGCTTCTATACTGAAACCTCAATATGTCAGTTTCTCACTACACTGTTCTTTACATATATTCGTGCGACATTGGCTTAACTTCTTGAAAGGTCACAAACGCTTGGTAGCTGTTTTGAACACTAATTTTTTGTGACTGCCTAGGCAGGAGGGAAAATGCGAGACATCTAGCGGAATCTTATGCTATAACTTATCACATGACTTAATAAATGTAAATACCAAAAACTGGCCAACGCAGAAATATACCAGGTGTCTATCCAGATTCGTAGCTCGTGTGGTTTCAAATTTTGTTTAGCAACATCTAAGAGTTCCCAAAATGTAGAGCACGTTCTACTTAATTCCAAAAAATAGCCACTAACAAAATGCATTGGTTTCTTTGGAAACAATCACTGATATTATTCGTAAAATTTTGATCGTTAGCCAAAATATCAGGCACTGATTGGAAACATTGTTGATTATGCTTCGTGTCACACCAAATGCCGACATTACGAAACTATTTATTACCATAAGAATTGACAATAAGTCACACTGTATTACTATATGGTAATTAAATATTCATAGAAATTATATGCAATTTCAGGTTTCTGAATTCAAAGATTTGTTATTCCAAACGATCAACATCGAGTAGTTAGCTTTTGATAGGTGATGACAATAAACCAAATGAATGGAAATTTTATTGACACATTAAATCTTTAGTGAAATCATAAGATTACAAGAACTAAGTATATTTTCAGGGTAAATATCAGTACCTCTTTCAACCAATGATCTGGGAAGACATCTAAAAGCGCCTGATGATACAATTTTAGCTATACACGTTAACACAAAAAAGCAAAGAAATGAGGAACACTGTCAGTAGTATATGTCGTTTGCATCAGAAAAAATACCTCCTACAAGCTAAATTGGCATGTATCCAGTGCATATGTGAAATATTCATAAGTAAAATAGGATAAACAAAATTCTCATACTTTCACTGTGAATATAAGCGAAAGAAAATTACATAAACTTTGAACAGATTAACATATCACAAGTTTTCTCCTTTCAGGTTAAATGTATCAAGTCTGACTCCACAAAGCAGTGCGACTGGTTTTTATTATTAGTTGGTAGGTGTGTTTATTGTCGCAGCAGTACTACTATTAGCAGTAAACATGACGAAAACTGAGTAAGATTCAACTTAGCCAAAAGAATGCATAAAACATCAACAATTCAACGTACGCGATAATATAAGCATGAACAAAAAAATAAAAACAAGCCACTGAAGTATACATAAAGAAACAAAAGATGCAAAACTGATCAGATTCATATACAAAAGAATTTGATGTTTTTTTTCATCTGAAAATGAATGTGAAGGAAAACAAAAATAATAATAACAAAAAGACAACCGGTCAGCCATAATTTGGTTGTAAAAATGAATATGCTTTATCATATCTATGTATGTAGATAGTGACAGAAGCGCGAACTGAACACAAAACACATTTGGATGAGATTCTGAGTTATAGTTGATTGAGAGCAATAATAATAGTTTAATAATGTGGGGATACAAATCCTAAATACAAATCAAAATGATTTTCCACTCCTGTATTTACGTAAAGAGATGAATTTCCATATTTTAAGATGTCAATTGAAAAATTCAAGAACCCAATCAACCACGGTAACACACACACACGCACACACAAGAAAATCAACATTCAACACCCCATGTTTTGCCTACTTCAGTAAATACATGAAAAGTTAGTCCATATGATAGTGTTGACTGTTTATCGACAATCCCATATATGAATTGTTTGGTCAACACTTCCCGTTACAGCATACGGAGCTAGGCGATTAACATCTGTAAAGGATTAAAAGTTATAAAAAACGCATAAAACAAAATACCATTAAACAATTATGGAAATATCAATACAATGATTAAAACGATCACAAAGAAATACGTGTATTTCTCATACAGGAGACATCAACAACAAGATTATCATACATGACACAATATTAAAACTAATGTGAGTTTCAGCACCTTAGAATTATTTGATAAGCGCAATCGTCAGTTCAAATCACATAGTGGTAGAAATAGTGGAAGAATTACTGCTAATGGAGAAGATTAGGATTTGAAGATAATATTCAAGAAGTATAATTCAGTGAGATAAGTTTAGAAAGACAAAGGTAGAGGTGTAGACCAATCCACAAGATTAGAATTTGAGAAAGCACAAAGAATGAATGCACCTGCGCGATTGCAAACGGTTTTGAGCCATGTCATTCAGGGTCTCTAACCATCGTTTACTATCATCTCAAGGACCTCAACCAGGTAGTCGACACCTACCGACATAGCTCAGTCCACTTGTCCGTCACTTCATGGATTCCTGCCATGTTTTGCTTTGGCAGCTCCTAGCTTTCTTCCAACCTACTCCTACACCACAAAACATAGCTTGACGAGACAGCCTGTGGTTGGCATATGTAACACTTGTCCCAACCACCTCAGCTGATGAAGTTTCAATACTTCATCTATTTATTTGCTACCTCTACCTAGCACTCGTTTCCTAACAACAGTATTGCTTACTCATTTGTCCCAGGATGTATGAGCAATGCTTCGAAGACATGTATGATCGAAAACCAGTAACCTACGAATATCTGCTACTCTCACTGGCCATGTTTTGCATCAACCTGCGCTTAAGCTTACTCCACTTCTCATCATGTTCAGAACCACACGAAATGAATTTCTGAGCATCTGCCAGTTCAGCAGTTACTACTGAAATCCAATGCTTTTCCCGTACGTTACGGTTTGCCTTACTGATTGGTTTAACTTGCTATCAGATATCACTGCTGTTTCCACAGCTTTTTGAACATCATTCCAACCTGCCTCCGGATGGGAATCACTTACATGGTCGCCTAACTGTATTAATAGTTGTTCCTGAAATATACTCCGGCCTATTGTCTAGTAGAACTCTAAGTGGTTTACTTGAGGTGTCTTTCCTACGTCCAGTAAAACACAGACATATATGCACTCGTGTTAGGGAATAATCTGAATCCAAACATGTGCTCCAGAATGAGCCGCAGTCGACTATCGAGACGCCATTGGTGGCTGATAGCGATGTGGTCTAGTTGTATACAGCATTGAGATGGCTTTAGGGGTCGCGATGTCAAGAAGGGGTTTCCTTTTCGCTTAAGGTTAGTATTTGCCAGAAATATTCGATTAACTGAACGTAGCTGCAACATACGGTCACCATTATCTGTTCAATCAGCCGCAACACCGTAGAGTCCACATAGGTATCGTTAAGTTTCGTTTAATTCTACCTACTTCAGCATTAAAGTCACCCGCTACTATTACTATATTACAGTGCCTAACCTTTTGGATGTTGGAAAGCTTTCTGTAAAGGTTCAACTGTGACTTCATCTGAGCTTCAATTAGTGGGAGGATAAGGCAAGACAACCAAGAGGTAACGGTGAGTGTTCCTGTGTTTCGGAATCCTTACTCTTCCGTTTAGTCGGAGAGCGCACAAGCGACTATCTACTGGGATCCAATCTAAGATAGCTAGTTATACTTTAGAACTTAATACTATACCTACACCAGAGAGGACACGGGAAGCAGAAGTGGGGCTGACATAAATGAAACGTAAATTAAGTTGGTTCTTTGTATCGACATAGGGAGGTCGAATGGAGGATTTTACTCGGATCCTGTATACACGTTTCAGAGAAGCAGCACACCCTCGTTAAGGAAGCCTGTTGTCCTATTCGGTTCAAGGCCCGGACATTAAAAGCTCAAACCTGTAGTTTAGAGCATGTTTTCAGAAGATCAGAAATAACATTTTGTGCTGTCAAATCGTTGGCACTAGAGGCGTGAGATGATAAAGAAATGGGAGGCTACAGTTATCAAGAGGTAAGGGGGGATTTAATTGTGAGCAAGTTGATCTCGGGTGTTGTTGGGGGTATGCGTTTAGCTGTCGCTTCCCGGCTGCGCGCACCGTGGACGAGTATTTCTTGAAGAACCCGTAAAGGAATTTGGGTTAGTGCTGGTCTTATAGACCTGGGAGCGTGAGTGCAGAGCCCAACGGACAACTGCTTTAGGCCGGTCACACACGGCTTTTTAATGGAATGTTTCGGTAGTGTTAGCCCCGCTTTTCAAATGGCCTTACCGCCAGGGACGGAAAGCCGTGAGGTGGGGTGTGACATTTTTAGGGAACTTTTCTAACCCCTTCGTTCCTTGTGAGAAGGTAGCACTGCTGCAGATGCTGGTTGTCAAAGGGAAACACCTTACCGCTGTCACACCTCTCTACAGTTAGGAGAACGACTATACCCACAGACCTCCAGTTACTGTTTGTAATCTTACCGTCCTCCAATCATCATTACCGGTGGCATGGTAGGACCTAAAGGGACATATGTTTTAACCAATATAGCTCGGTTGGGTCATCACGATAGGCGAACCCGACTACCACGTCAAGGTGACAGCTACAGTCGCGAGGATTTACAAAACCAAAAATATTGCATTCAATAAGAGAAATGCAAAACCGTATTATATTCTTTTAATTGTTCTTGTTGATTAATTTGCATCATATTCCTCATAATATGTACCATAACTAGTTATTACTATTCTTCAAAGCAATCTTAAAATAGTATTCTGTGAGCACTTACTGTTTATTGAGAACTAACTTTTCATTTTAGTATGGCTATAGAGGATGTGCTTTTAGCACTTACATGAAGCTATATATATTATTAAGAACATTGAACTAAAGGACTACATAAGGCTTTAAAAAATTAGCATTTCAGATCATACTAGAAGCATTGACACTATAAAAAACATTCGATTACTTTTAGTTTAATCTACAAAATATGCATTCGTTTAAAATGTCTCATATGATATATATAAGTGAAATCGATTTCTAATCAAGTAAATTATTGACCAACTCACCTAAAGAGGTAACGAAATGTGAATGGGCATTTAACGTCTTGTGACATCGCCGATTTTTCAAATCCCAAACTCGAATTGTTTTGTCGTCAGAGGCAGATAATAAAAGTCTACCATGAGGGTGAAATACAAGTTGTCTGACCCAATTATCATGACCGATCTAAAAATATTGATGTACATGGAAACACAGAACACATTTGGTATAGCTGAGTAACAATGATATTATTGGAAACAGACTAATTTCCAACCATCAGTATTGGCTCAAATTTTAAAAAGCATGTGACATTAACAATCTGCGTAAATATAAAGACATTATATTGAATCAAATATTTACACATAACTTAAAAACTTGATCAGGCTAGTAGAAACTTTTATCTGATTGAAGTAAGATAATTAACCTAGTTATAGTAATATTATGAAATTTTAATCATAGTTGAATCGGATCACATTTATCTAGCTGAGTGAATATTAACTTTTGCATAGGCGATAAGCACAATACAATTCAGATATTATGACTTATATTACAATGAGAAATTAAAACAATAATAGTAGGATTTATTTAGATTTAATGCTGAGATATACCACTGGATTACGGGATTGAACCTTATTGCACCCAGTAAGCGAGGTACGCAGTAGAAATTGACATGCGAAAGATGTAAATTACAATTTTGAACACGGTTCAAGTAATAATTAGCAGAATGAGTTAATACAATTTTTACAATATTGTATTGAGTCCCTCCAAGCTAATCACTGTACATTAATAGTGAATGACCATACTCTGATAAACCTCTTCATGAAGTCAGTCTAGAATCTAACTATTACTTTTAGAAAATCATCAAAAAGAATATTACACAATCTAGTTATAGTGGTTAACATATACAGGTTTTTGATCAATGGAAGTCGATTCGGTTTTAAGAAAGTATCAAATTTGCAATTCTACAAAAAAACTAGTAGATCTCCCCTAACCAAAGTGACTTAGATTGGAAAGTCACACATGTTTATAAATAATGGAAAAATAGTAGATCTGATTAAATCCCGTAACTGAGGATGTGTTGGTTGCAATCAGTAGTGAATCACCCCTACGGTTATGAGACAGAATATGATACGGTGACCAGGTTTCAATCTTTCGTATTATAAGTTCATTTAAAGGAACTTGGTGAAAAAAAATATCGGGAAATAATGAAAAACCACTTACAAGCTCAAATAAGCCTATACCAGTATTTACATCCCAAAAACGAATAGTCCTATCGCGTGAACCAGATACAAGTAACAAACACGAATTCATACTAGAAGGTAAAGAATTCAAATCTATCGAAATTCCATTGGTTGTGTTATTGACAAATCCGTCGGCAGTAGTTCCGGAAGAATCGGCACTCTCAGGCACAGAACTAGTTATTGCTAATACACTTTGTGGATGAGAAGCCCAAGCGATACATTCAACTACATGATCATGACCATGAAGAACTATCTGACATTCACGAGATTCTACAGACCAAATTCGAATAGTATGATCGTTGGAACAACTGGCTAGTAGGTTCCCTTCTGGACTTGGACGAACTGACCGAATCCAATCGGTATGACCGATGAAAGTCTTTGTACAATATCTGAAGATCGAAGATAAGGTAGTTGTTTTGCAAAAAGACAGAAATGTAACCAAAGCTAAAATTGATCTATATATATTTACTCTAAAAATTTGTGACAAGAATGCCTAGCAGTCTTCAAAACATCTTCGGCAATTAAAAATACAGAAAAGCTAAACTAATAAATTATAAACTTTTACCATATCGCAAATAAATGGGACTAAATAAATGAGTACCACTTAAAACAAAAGTGGGAAGTACTTCCATCGATTTCGTCTAGTCATTCGACATTTGTAGCTGCTGACCTCCACTCCCCGATGAATATAAGCTACTTATATGATTAAGACGAACATTCAATGACTTTATAGACCGGTGACACGCTTTATTATAAAGACTTTTAAGTATCTACCTAATAATTTACTTACCATCAGACATTTATTACAGTGAAGTTCGATGTGTAGACCTGACAACAGTATATTAATCTTAGAGTGGAGACAGTAACGCATATCATATTCTTTCAAAATATTAACTTTGCTATAATTTAGGGATTTTTACTGCCATTTCTGACTAATCACTTCTAGGCTAAAAGGTCATAACTAGAAAAACCCCTATTTCAGAAAATGTTAAACATAGTCGATGTTAATAGTTTTTCCATGAAAAATGGAGGTTCACACAAAGAGAATAAATACTATTTATATTCTCAGAGGTTGTTGGTCAGTCAGTCAGTCAGATGCAACGTAGAACTTCGTACGTAAGTACATCAGTTCATGTCGCCATACCACATCAGCACAGGGATGTAATTGTCAATTCAAATCTAATAGTAGAAGAGGTAGTGAAGGTATTAGGAGTAATCGGAGGGGTTAGGATTAGAAGATATTATTCAAGAAGTATGATTAAATGAGAAAAGTTTAGAAAGTCAAAACTAGAGTTGCTGAAGAACCCAGAAGATTAGGATTTGAGAGAACACAAAGAATAAATGCACTGGCGCCATTGCGAACGATTTTGAGTCATGTCATTCAAGGTCTCTAACCATCGATTATTATCATTTCGCGGACCCCAACCAGGTAGTCGACAATTACCGACATGGCTCAGTCCACTCGTCAATGACTTCATGGATTTCTGCCATGTTTCGGTTTGGCCTCCCCTAACTTTCTTCCAACCTATTCCTACACTACAAAACAAAGCTCGACGAGGCAGTCGGTGGTTAGGCATTCGTAACACATGTCCCAACCACCTCAACTGATGAAGTGTCACTACTGCGTCTATTGATCTGCCATTCTTACCTAGCACCCGATTCCTAATAACAGCATTGCTCACTCGGGTGTCCCAGGATATATGAGGTTGTTGGAGTTAGAGTAAGGAAAAGATGAATAGATATATTTGATGATATGTACCATTGAATGACTACAATATGATATGGTGAGCAAGTTAAGGAAATAACATGTGAATTAGCGTTGAGCAGTACAGAATAAATATTTAGAATTCTCTTTTGCAGAAGTGCCTATCTCTCAATGTATCAATTAGCTTTTCCTCCACAATTTATCTTTCTCATACATAGGTTAAACAGTCCACATACTATGTAGCTATTAACGTTATAAGTATTTGCAATAAGGTAACCTCTCAAAGTGTGCATATTTAAATTCAGATTATGATTAGTTTCAGCCCTGAGTAGAAGTTAGGTACACAATATTAATATAGGAACAAGCTGACGCACGGTATGAACAACCTCTTGGGACTTTAAATATAAAGTCGCAATTCAGAATAAGCAGCCAGCAGGTAAGTTCAGAGAAGGATGACAGACTAATTCCATCCCATTCGTTTTAGGATGGGGTCGCTACTCATACAATGGCATGTAAAACCTTAATGATAATCGTTTGAGCATAAATATGTAATAAATATTAACAAATTAACACAAGCATTAGGCTTAGAATAAAAAGGCACCGATTTCAGTTGATGCATTTTAGAACGGCATGGAGAGCGCAAATAAATGACAATGTAAGGATCTGGTTAGATTTTGGTTATATTTTTGATTTGTTAATGTAAATACTGTCATGCCAACAACTCAAGAATATTTGAATTCAATAATTTTTATGATTTCTTATGCAAGACTGTAACCTGAAAAAGTTTATTAAACAAGCAGCCCTGATAAAGCTGTCAACTACAAAAACTTGTTATACAGTATATACCTCAAGTAAAGTAATAGCATATAAACACACATAATGCAAGTTAACTCTAAGTTTGTGGTCAATGATATAATAATTATTCTAAACAATATGAGTCGCAGTCTGTTCGTCAAATGAAACCTAAAACCTGGTACGTATACATCCCCTGCGAACGATCTTGAGTAATGTAACCCAAGGTTTCCAACAAGGTACTCTGAGCCAATTTACATTATTCAGTTTAACGGTCTTTCACCTTATGGACTGATGCCAAGTCCCGGTTTGACCGCTTCTAGCTTTATCCTAACCACCAACTGCACCAGATATCACTGCACATCCAGGCACGCAGTAATAGAAGTAGTAGTTTTTGTAGCTTATAAATTATAATGCAAAGTTGATAGTTGATTGATAAGTGAAATATCACTTTTCAGTGCTGTTGGTTTAATAATATTCGATTATTATCATTATTATTATTATCATGATATAAACTAATAAATGACAAAAATCAGGATAATTCTGGAATAAGATATTTTCATAATAAGTTCATTTTCATGATCTAAATTAATGAACCTATAGATATCATATTAGTGGTGATTATGGTGACATAGTCTAACTAACTTATGGTATATCGACTTGATTCGATGAATACATGTGCTTTGTTTTGCATTGATTACGATCAACTGATGATTTCTTTGTAAAACTTTAATTACGTGTATATGGGTAAAATCTCTTTACTGCGAGTGACTTCAGAAAAAGGAATTTTTAAGATCAACTGACAACTTTACCAAGGAATTTTCAATACCACGTAGTAATATGATGCTTTAAGCAATGAAACACCGCGTTCCGAATTTCAGCTAAGAAATTGACAAAAGATTGGTTAGTACAGCTTACACTTCAAGAAGTATTTTCTCGGATTAAATATTTAAATATTGAACTAGAATATTTTCCAGAAATATGTATGGATCAACAGTGGTGATTTTATTTATATCTTGTGATCTAAAATCTAGTGATCATACGACATTCGTTGATGCAGGCCAAAAATCGATCAAATAAAGAACATTAAGTAATTGTATGGATTCAGAATATATGACCTTCATATTATGATTAGTAAATATGTACTTTCAATGATAATATACTGTGACAACTTAAATAAGCAAATCATTGATTACAACACATTCGAGTGCTTTTGTAGATCAGCAACACAAAAACTTTGAGTTAATCCAGTTTTAAGGAAAGCTAGCAAACCTAGCCTTACCAAAATAAAATACACTTAGTACTGACATAAAAAGTAAATTACAAGGAAACACTGAGAAAACCATCAGTCATCATACCCTGTAGACACCTCCCACATTTTTATTGTTTTATCTCTACTAGCACTGACTAAGAAGTCACCAGAAGGTAGAAATGCTACACTGGATACATTATGATCATGACCAGTCAAAGTTTTGATGCATTGATAGATTGTAAAATCCCATAATTTAACTTGCATGTCAGCGGAACACGAAGCCAAAAGCTTTCCTGAAGGGTCAAAGGCTACGTCTTGCACCGAATCTGTATGGCCTTTTAAAGTATGTTCAAACTCCCCAGTTTCATAATCCCAAACCTAAAAAAGAATTCTATGTTTAAAATTAAGCCATTACAAAGACAATTTTTCCGTTTGAAAACAAACACAACAATATATCTACTAGACACCATTCTGTTTAGAAATGCAAATAAAATTTAATAACGTACGTAGGTTGAAGTCACATTTCCTGATCCATCAAAATGAAATAAATGTCGTTGAAAATCTGTGCAAACTTTTGGACATGTCATACTCGCATAAATTTAAACTAAAGCTGTTTTTGAAACTAAATATTAGGTGATTTTAATTCTAGTGCTCTCATCTCCAGAAGTTGCATGAGAACAAAATACGTGCATCAAAAATATTATCAACCTGAATACAAGGGAAACTTTTCAAAATATGCGTCCGCAGGTTAAGAATAAAGTCTGTTTAGTATATTTAATGGAAGTAAACAAAGTCATTAATAAGTCAACTAGTTACACACAATACTTAGATTGAGGTATAACACAGTATATAACACAGGAAACAACACAGTCAGGTTACGCAAGGGATGATTTACCAACTAGCAATACTTCGGAAGATTGATCCTCAGTATGAGTTACGTGAGAGAGCAGAATATGACATTTATTGTACTGCGAACAGAGTAGCTTACTTACTTGCTCACGCCTGTTACTTCTAATGGAGCATAGGCAGCCGACTAGCGAATTACTTTTTTTTCTGGTTAGCGTTTTCTAGTGAGTTGGATTTCTATGGGATGGAGTTGCGAACCCCATGCCCAACACTTTTCCTTTATCCGGGCTTGGGACCGGCAGTAACCCCAGATCAGCTGCAGACGGAGTTGAATAGGGCACAGTCCAGATTATTCCATGCTTACATCAGGCTCGAAGAGCGATATGTTGTATGGCTCATTTTTCAAACAAGTAGAATTAGTGAATGAATTGAGATATAAAGTTTTCGTATACATTCTACATAAATTTGTTTTTATATTACAATCTCAGATACCAATTTTATTGAGGTATGTTCTTCCAGTGATATTCTTATTGTCATTTGAGATCGGAAGAATGAAGAAATTTCTAGACAATACTAGACGACAGAGAGAATAATAACTACATACTAACAGATCTAGGATAAAAGATGAGAACCCAAAAAAAAAACGCAGAATGAACTTGCACAAAAATGTAATGGAGTTTGAAATTATATTTATAAAAATCCTAGTCTACTGCTCCGCTTGAGTCTGGCCGGGACCTTTTTTAGGTGAAATAATCACATTAAAGTAATCAGATATAAATAGATGGCTCACAGGTTAACCGTATGCTGAACAAATCGTCTAGTCGTGTCTGACTGTTTCCCTCGAAAAAAAACTTAGACCATACAGCTGAGTGAAATGCCAGATTTACTTCAAGCATAATCACTGAGATTCTTACGAATACAATTTCCTCCTTAATATCTTGCATTAATTTGGTGCCGAACTACTGTAAAAACTACTTATCCAAATTTAAACGAAGGCTCCATGAATGCAGTGGAATCTAACTGTTAAGAAGTCAAATACATTGAATAACGCCCTTGTAAGAGACTTGAATAAGCACGTTATCAAGCTTAGAAAAGTGGAAAGTTATGCTGACTAGTATAAACTCTCTTAGTAGCATTTTGATTTTTGACTGAAAGGTAAATCCAGAGAACCCAAATAAGACTATACAAACCATCGTTTTAATGGATGCTGTAATATATATTAGGGAAGAGAAATAGATTTAGAAGCAAGTTTTTTAGTTCAGTTTTGTTCTTTGAAATGGATGGTTTAGTCACTGATAGGAATCCTATCAAAAACCATAGATCCGAGCTGTTAATCACCACTGATAATTTACAATAATAAGAGTAACTCCTGAATGAAGTACAAATTAAATGATTTCTTTGTTACAAATCGTACTTTTAACATCAAAGGAAGTCGACACGAATGAGTGAAAAATGCTTCACACAGAACTAACCGTACCGCAAATATTCCATAATACACAATTCAGACCGAAAATCGCTTAAGAAACTATGTACCACTCAACAAAAGTGAATCTAAAACAGGAGAAACTAACTTTGATTGAGGCATCTTCACTTGCCGATACAAAAACATTGTAGTGCGGATGAAAGAGTACACGAGTTACTGGAGAACGATGACCTGTCAGTGTAAACTTGGCTGGAGGTCTTGGAATAGCATCAACATCACGTCGATCACCTCTATCTGAAAGGCCGCTCCCAGGTGCGGCACCCGCTATACCAAAACCAACAGCATTTTGCATTGACTGAAACTCCTTCTCGGCCTCGTTAAGTTTGGCTTCTAAATCCATAACCTGCAACAAAGCAAATAAGTCTTAAGACCATGCAACTAAAAACAAACAGCTGAGTTACTATACAGTCACAGGATACACTGCACAACTTTTGCATATCGAACTTCGAACAGGATCCCAGCATCCACTAATAGCACTAACACATATGGGCAATAATGAGAGGACGCCTGTGGTTTGTAACCTGAATGTCATGGTGAACAGGGCATTCGACACAGCAAACACTTTACATTTGCTGCTTTAACCAAAGATTCTATAGTGAATTCAGGAAACAACAATTATTGTTTGAGATTACGGCAACATGTTTGACACATTCTATCTCGCAACCAGAGATATACGATACCAGAATTAAAATTACCTATACAACTATGTATGTAGAACGATATACTATATTCATTTCGATTATTAGAATGATGACTTGCGTTGATTCTTGCTTGTCTAGTTGTGACATAACCATCTGAAACCTTACTAGAAAGGAACAACTAAGAATTCACTGTCAGTCAATTTCCGATGATCTCATTACTATTGAGACTATACGTTCAAAGTGGTAATGTAACTAATATTTAAAGTCTAGATACTTTCATTGGTTTGAGTTAATCGAAACAACTCTAGCCTGGAATTATGATGACATTGACTTCGCGAGGCTTAGATTCCAAGATATACTTCCCTGAGTGATTAGATGGTTATGTCGGAAATGTGAACAACATATGACTTCGAATCCGAAATGTAAAACAAGCAACAGTTATTTGGATGGTCAGTACAAATGCGTGAAGCTAGGTATCGACATGTGCCTGATACAGTGAAATTTCTATTCGTGATAAACACGATTTTCATAAACATCTCAGACGAACAGACAGGGAGAGATGAGGAACTTTGAGGAATTAACCTTAAAAAAATGGGTGCATTGACGCACCAATTGCCACTCTTTTCGTGAATATATAATTCGGAATATATAAGAGGAAGGTTGCTTGTCAATTCAATCAAAGACAAACAAAAATTAACTGGATAAAATTTAAATTTATTTTCAAGCATACCTTTTTCTGAAGCCTGATAACTGAAGTCCACTTCTTTTCCAGAAGGCCGTCATACTTTCGGTCATTTTCTCCTGCCTATAAATTGGTAAAGACGTACTACTAAACTCACCAGTTGCGACTCTTCTTTGAAGGCATCTAAAGCCTTTATGTATCCATTAGCAAATAAATAATCAGCAATAGCCCTATTCCTACAAACGTCGATGAGCTTTAATGCATACTTACAGCTCCTCTTTTTGACGCTGAGCTAAGACCATCAGAAAAGTTATTATCACGGGTAAGGTAATATACAGAACTTCAAACTAGTTCGCTAGCCCTACTGAATACAGCACCAGACACCGTACGAATACAGCAAATCCAAAAGCAACCCGCTCTTAAAGCCCGCCCAAGTTGTTATAATATGTATAACCAGTAATTCATTTCTAGACATCAAAGAAAACATCATGTAAGTTTCTTAAATTATATGGCGATAGAATGTTTTGCAGAGCAATGTGGGTTATTTTCTCTACCTTGTCAACTAGTAAACAAATTGAGTTTGTTAGTACATCGAATAAACGAAGCTTCCAATTCACAAGCCTCCATGCTTAATAGCGGTGAGTCACTGAAGCCTCGAGGTAGAAATTTAGGTCTGGGTTTTTTTTCTAGGCAGAAATTTTCATTTTCAAACTGGCCAAATGTGAGATAGTACGTTACCACAGCAAGATTTGCTCAAAAGGCACTTTTATCGCAGTTAGAGACAGACTTTAGATCATAGGACAAAAAAAGGTCCTTTACAAGATGCAACACCTCTGGAAGTTAATATCTAAAAGCTTTTTCACGAGCTATTTTAAACCAGTTGGTATCTTTGCATTCGCTTCTGATTATTTCCGTACAGTACCATGTATTTGCTAATCCCCAGTGAACTGTAATCTATCTATTCTGCTGCACCACTTCGAGTCAGTTCATAGTTCTTTATAGATTTGTTTGTTCCATGATCTGAGTGAGCTTAACACGAAGATTTCCGAACTAAACAAATAAACAAATAAGCTGATTAGTTGGTTGGGAAGATTGTGTTTGAGGACTGTAACTTAATCAAAGAAGAGGAATCAGGTGAACCAAATGGGACAGAATAAGTGAGTGATCTGAGGGAATGGCAGTAATAGCAACTAACAAGTTTTGAGCCGTATCAGCCACAGCTGGTCCAAGTGGGAGATGACGATCTATGTGGAAGAATGTGTTTATGAAGCCTCTTATTAAAGCTGTCCGTGAGGCGGCTGCAGTCACCTCAGCTGAAAGAGTATTCCAAGTTAAGAAAACGTTTAATGATAGTGAGTGCGCATGTTTATGAATGTTTGCTGTCCGATGTGTAATTTTTCAAGGGTTGCTTCCAGAAGCACAGTGAGGATACTTCGACATGTTGCACATGTTGGGGTGATTCAGCGTACGTAGTTATATACCATAATTAGACCACCTTTGATTCTCCAGTAACTCGGCTTCTAAGACCCATCACCCATTTAGTTACTATTTCCTGCACTCGATCCAGGAGAATTCTGTACCTATTATTGATAAGTGTGACGACATTGTGAACTTTAAGGTGTAGCCGTGCGTATGTTTTTAAGATAATTAACAACAACTGTGAAGTGAATGAACCAATTTATCTTCCAATAAAATGGAGAGCTGTCTTAGACTTGACTGCATTCACTATACAGTCTGAAGTTGTATACTGGTTCTCTGTAGGTCCCAGGCTCCGAAGAGAAATTTGGAGGTAGACTTCCACAAAGGACGTTAGATTTATGCATTACGTGTGGCAGAATGTCTATGACGTGAAACTTATACTAGTTAAGTTTTAACCAATTGCTCACCACCTGTTCCTCCGTAATGTCATTTTGAGGCTAAAATGAATCATCTTCTCTTCTTATGGAAATCCAGATATTTACGTCGTATATATAGGTTAGTGCCACCTAGCCGACAATGTCCAACAAGTCATTTATGCATATCAGGAAGTTAGTGGATCTAAGATTTACCTCTGTAAAATTCCTGACGCTGGAACCGGCTATCTCGCAAGCATTCTGTATTCCTTGGTACGAAACTTACCGTCCTCAAGCTAGTTTCCGAAACAAGATAGAATTGGATAGGTAAAGCCCATTTTCGCAACACTGTCAATCAGAATGAAGTGAAGTACTGTGTCAAAAGCATTCTTAAAGTCAAAGGATGATAAAAGAACCGGAAGTTTCTGGTCCCAGCAGGATTTCTAACTTTCCCATGCCATGAGAATATTGGATGCACATGACCTGCCTTCCTAAACCTATGTTGAGTTCATTGGAAGACGGTGTTCATATCCATGTACCAGTTCACTAGTAATTCCATTACCTTAGAGAGCTATATGTATAGTCTGCTCAGGTCTCAGATAGACTACTTTAAACACTGAAGTTTTGAAATTAAGTCCATTGGTAAACGAACTACTTTAAAGTTGAGTAAAATAATCCTGAAGTGTCGGCTTAACATCATAACTGCTAACTGCTTTCTAAAGTTTAACACTGTCAGTGGTAATTAATAACGTATGAGATTTATCAATGGACCTCATTGACACTTATTAAAACAAATGTGAGACTAAATCACTGAAGCCTTGATTGATTAAAAAGTAAATTCTCTGTTCTGAGAGACAGTATAGTGTAACCGAACCATAAAAATCAATCATTTAGTATTACGGTGAACTATTCAAACTCGAAATTGCGGCCACATAGTACTACAGGTAATGCTTGTGTTAGAAATGATGGATTTGTGAGAACAATCGACATCCAGACCAGGAACGGTTTGCTTGTTGCAAACATCAGAAACATGTGTTTTTAAGAAAATGCAGATGAAAATCAAGGAGTAAACCAAGAATCAAGCAACCTTCTTGCATAGTAACAACTCTCAACCATTAGTAAGTTACAATGTGCTTTATCTGATTCGGTGGTCCATTATCAAACTCTCAGCTGAGATAGAACGTTATATATGTATTTCAAATTCCTATTGTAGTTGCTTGGTTTTATATGTCAAGTCAAGCAGCATATTTTATGTTCTCCACAATTAATAGATTACTTCAGGTTCATGGTTACTATGCATAAGATACTTCTATATGGTTAAGGATTTCGACATTCTAGTCAGGTTGCATCTTAAGCACTCATTGATCTAGGTGGTATATAACGGTCGAATTACCTAAAGATGCAGTTCTGCCATTAGCTCTGCGGCATAATCGTCATTGTCTTTCAGGCCACAATAACCTAAATTCCCCATCTTTAGCTGGGAGAAGAGAGGATGTATCAAGAAATGAGCCTTTCTGGTGAAATACAGTTTAATGACTAGCTTCCGTTGGTACTGGAGTCTAGCTTCTCTCGGTATATCAAGACGTCGTTAGCATATTAGATTGGACTGTTCAAAAGTGCATTTGCATCACGCCTCATAGTGCATTTATAAGTTTTGGCGTTCGAAGAGTGTGATTATTTATAATTATGAGGTGCTTGTAAATTGTGAGGACCGTTCGCAGCACACAAGATTTTGGTAATCAATAAATCCCAGTAAACATCCATGTAAAGTTGTGAGTGGGTTATTCAGACCAGATGCAGCAAACGGTTTTTTAGAGCTGAAACATAAAGCGAATAACCCCATTGTTAATATGATATTTCAGCTCACATCAACTAATAAATTTGAAAACTATGAGAGCGAGGTCTTTTTTTCAGAGGATGCAGAATCAAGAGGTTGTCAATTAGTGGTTTTTATTCATGAAGATGCACTCCAGTTGTGATAACGACTTACTGTTTTACCACCAAGTTGTCAACTTCACATTTTCAAATGATCCCAATCTACTTATGTGTCGAAGAACCGGGCCTCAGATGAGTTATCACCCATTCTGCATATGAAGTCGTCAAAGTTTAGTTTAGCAAGGCTGGAGTCTCTTGAGTTTACAATACCAGTGTATCCAACAAGAGCAGAGCAAGGTAATCACTCCGTCGTGCGATGATTGTGATCAGTATATACAGTCGGTTTCCTGTAAAAGACTTTGAATCGAAATTTTGATGCGCTGGAAAATCTTACTGATATTCATACGGATTCATTAAAATTAATACACCCCTGAGTGTGAAATTCAAGTGCAACCGAACAGGACCATAAACATGGAGCCAATTCGTCTCCTAATACACCTTTGAATATAGATTCCAGACTGTAACTCACATCTGCTGATACGAAGAAAAGAAGAATATCTGTTTTGTTCAAATTCCATAATCCTAGTCCTTATTTATGATTGTACTGCTAGCTAGGTTAATATATTTTCCATCTTCAATCTACGATTTATGAACTTTTGTTCTTGATTAGTACAGACTGCATTATTAGGTTTCGTACATCTTGATACGCCTAGAAGAGTAGCTTTTCTTTCAGGAACGACGTCCCGCGAGATTGACAATCTAATGTGTTGCCGTCCTAAGTTGATAGTAATAGTTTGTCTCATATTTATATATGCAATTAGGTTATTTAGTCATTTTTTAATTCACTATAATTTTGGAAGAAAGCATACAGTTTATTCTTCGTTGTTACAAGAGACGTAACAGTACTAATAACTCAGGATAATGGCAGCCATAAAATCAAGATGTTCGAAATACAGAGTATATGTTTCTATTTTGGGATAAATGGTCAGGTACATACCATCAAGAACTGGACAAACGTAGCTTATCACAGCTATACATTCACTTTTCTCATAACTAAGGTTTCGTTTCGAATAACAAATATAAGCTAGAAAGCCCAAATCGTTTTCTCTGTGGATTATTCCATCATCATGACTATATGTGTTTGACAGACTTTGATCATAATCAAACCTCGTAAAAGTTATCGAACTTCCTGATATTTTCTCCTCTGCCTGAAACCTTTGGTGGCTGTCACTGATCAGTAAATTCTAAGATTAACCAAAAAGTACTGGTAAGTCACTTGCTCTAATATTTGTCTACAAATAGTAGTGATCGCCAAATTGAAGTAGTTATACTCTCTGGTGATATCACGGTAATTCAAATTTGAACAACGCTTTTATTCTTTACACCTTCCATATAGCGTATATCCGAATTCATGTGGAATCAGAAATAAGGAATTGAGAGGATGAAAGTTATATTTGAAGGGCAGCTGATATGTCGAGGCGTGGGCGAAGAGATGTATTGTAAATATTGATAAGTGGTGATATGGCGGTTATATATGGCCGGGCGCCTTCAGCTAATGAGTGTGAAGTGAAACTAGATAGTTCAGTATCAGAATCAAAGACTTAGAGAATTATTTATTTTAGGGATTTTCGTGCCGCAATAAGTCATTTGATATCCATAAAGTATACACTTCTGCGCAGTTAAAATCGATAAATTATTTACTAATGTTCTTGATTTTCTTAAGGCCTAATTCCACAACAAAATCCAAACGTTTTCATCCATCCTAATATGAACTGATTTTCTCATTTTAAAGTGTGTTGTGCTTTTATGGTTTAATAAGATGCATTTTTGTGTCCTCCAA